GAAGTCCACCAGGCTTAAAGTTGCCACGGTTGGAGACCCCTGCTCTAGGAATGAAACATGCTGTCTGTCACAGGTGCCTTTAACAATGATCCCTTCCGTGTTTTTAAAATGAGCTGATTAAATAGGACGTGGGATACTTTGGGGTGAGGGTGTAGGGATTGTGAAGGAAAGAGCGAAAAGCTCCTTGTGCGATGTGCTCACCTGTTGTTTCTGCTGCCCCCCCCGCCCCCCCCTCCCCCCCCCCCCCCCCCCACCAACAGTCTCCTCCGGCAGTTTGGTCCTTTACCAGAGCTCCGACTCCTCCAACGGCCACTTGCTGCCCTCTGCCCACGGTGTGATAGAGACCTTCATCTCCACCCACATGGCTTCCTCCACGCAATAACCCGGCCGGCCACTGGACATTCGGCAGCCCTTGCCTGCAGCCCGTGGGGCCTTCTCCTGCACCCCATCCCTGCTCCTGGGCGGGAAGGCCAGGCGGTGCCCCTGGCTGCCTCCTCTGCCAGGATTTGTGTGGCTTTTCCCCCTTCTCCCACACGCTGCAATTTCAAAACTCCAAGGAAAAGATGCCCCAAGCAAGCAGGGGGCAGAGACGGAGCTTTTGCACTGCTGAGAAGACAGGAAGGGTTTGTAGTGGACGAGGTTCTTTGATCTGGGGCTGGCTGGCTGCCAGAGTAGAACAGTGAGGTGCCTCCTGCTCGTCAGGTGGGATCCCAGAGCAAGACTCGGAAGAAGGACAAAGCAGAGTTGGAACAGGGAACAAAGAAAGGGACCACGCATCCTCTAGGACAGGCCCACACCTGGGGCACTGAGCCGTGGGAGAACTTGGACTCAACTTGGCTCTGGTTGCAGAGATGCTCCTGGCAGGTTCTCAGCCCACAAGCGGCCCCGCAGGCTGAGCCCCAGGCGGAAACTGCAAGGAGAGCAACTCCAAAGGTCTGAACCGGGCAGCTGATACTTCTTGGACCTTCTACATGCTTGTGCAATTGTGCAAGGCACCAGGAATCTGCGCTGGCAGCAATCAAGTGTAACCGAGGCATTCTACATCATCAACAGAATACTCTTTCAAATTTAAATTAAAAGACACGCTCATAATAGAGTTAAGAGCCTAAGTAAAACATGGAAACATGTAAGTCTCGCCTCCCATTTTAGAAATAAGCAAACCAAATAGCTTGTCCTCCTGATGTTTGTAAAAATAGCAATAAATCCCCAAAGAGGATGAGCATCATTTCTATAAATTGCTTAAAAACAAAGGGACTCTGTTGCTGCTACCTCAAGTCAAAGAATTTGAGACCCCCTGCATTCCATCAGCTCCCCTCCGTCTGCCTCTGACCTGCCTCAACATCCCCTTCCTGGATTCAGGCACCCTTCCTCCCTCCCAAGTGCTAGGTTAGTTAAGTAACAGCCTCTGACTGGGCATAATTTGGACCAGTTGCAGAAACAGGCTTTTTTTTTTTCACAGGGGGTTTAAATGGTAGCTGTGCTTTTTTCCTAGCGGGGTTGCTCATTTTGGAATCCGGCTCCGGAGACACCTGTGCCGTGGCTGGAGACGTGTGTGTCTGCTATCGTGGGCAACAACTCAGCCAATTAGGCCACTTCTCCAAATGCACAATACAAACTTCTTTCCTAGTGAATGTTTGGGGATAGGCTAGCTTACGCTTGACCTCCTTACTGGACAGCAGTGTCTCCACACCCAACAGGCAAAGCCAAGACCCTTCTGTTGCTAGGAGAACCACAAATTGTTCACATGGAAGAAGCCAAAAGAAAAAAGCCAGAGGGAAAATCACTGGTCAAGCCAGAGTGGAAAAGAAAATCAGAAATTAACTAGGCATAAGTCTTGCCTAAGCATCACCCTGTACTTATTTGAGGTTCAGGATATTACTCATTGAGCTTTGGAATCTTGTAAATCAGTAGCCAAATTTATCCATTTGGGTGTTTCAAGCTCCAGGTGTTGCTCTTAGGCCCCAGAGCACTCTGGAGATTTCACAGGCAGAATCACGGGCGTCATCCGCTCTGTTTTGTACATATATTTAACTTTTGGTCAATAAAACGGGAGATGTTAAAATATTGTTATGTACATTGGCTATTCACAAAGGGACCCATCTCATAGGATCTGGAACCATATCTGTAAAGGCGGAGTCACATCGTTCTTCAGATGGAGGAGGTGAGAAAACAGAGAAGCTGCTCCGGCCACTCCTCCAGGTGACCCACAAAGCTGGGCATCCCTGCCCCCCCACAATCTTCGCTGCCCGCCCCCCGCCTCCATTTCCTGCAGCTCCAAGAGCCGCCAAGGCTCACCCGAGAAAGCGGCAGTTGGGGTGTCCACTTTGATGGGACGCAAGGAGTGCCCGCCCGCTCTTCCCCCCAATTTGTTAGGCTACCCAGGAGCCACAGCCGCCCTCCCCACCACAGGAGTTGGAGCAGCTCTTTTCCGTCACTGAAGGAGTCCCGGGCCCAACTCAGGAGCCCCCTGCCCCCTGTGAAGTAACTCCCCCTGGCAAATAAGTATTGGAGGAAGGGTCAGTCTGTTCCTGCTTCCGCCTTCCTCCTTTTCCTCTTTCTCTTCCTCTGCATCGTCTCTGTCCAACTGATGGCCTCCGGACTGCTGGGACACGAGAGCTCCTTGTTCTGGCTGTTACTCACTGCTTCGATGGCCCCGGGCTGGCCATTCTCCTCTCTTTTCCCTTTCTTCTTCTTCTTCTTCTTCTTTTTGACTTTCTTCCACGTAGCCTCTATTGTTTGGCCGGAGTCCTGGGCCACTGGCGGGGGCAGACCGCTCTGTTTCAGAATGTCTGCTGCCGTCACCGCAACCTCTTGGCATCTGTGCCAATCTGAGTCACTTTCCAGGCTGCTGGAAGAACCACAAGCGGGGAGGAAAGCAGAATTACTATAAATAATATATGTATGTGTGTGTGTGTGTGTGTGTGTGTGTGTGTGTGTGTGTGTATAAAAATATATAAATATTTAAATACTATATATATATATATATATTTATTAATGGCTTACAATTCTGAGAATGAAACAGTGCAAAAGATCTAGCTACACATAGGAGTGGGGGTGGGGAATATAGCAATGAAGCCATATTAACTGGAAGACCAGCTGTTTTGTTCCTTTATGAGTGAGTCATGCCGACTTATCTTTAATCGAGTGATTCAACCAATATTCTTTGTACAACACCCAACTTCACGTGCTGAGTTTGCACAATATGCACTTGTTATCCTGTGTGGACACAATCACCATGTTATGCAAACTGAATCCGTTTATGATGCTATGTGCCGTGTAAATCCTATCATGCTGTGCCAAGATATTAGATTGGCATCAAGTTAAACCTACTGCTTTGGTCCATACCACCCTCTAAGCCAGGGGACCCCAAACTTGGCCGCTTTAAGACTTGTGGACTTCAACTCCTAGCTATGCTGGCTGGAGAATTCTGGGAGTTGAAGTCCACAAGTCTTAAAGCGGCCAAGTTTGGGGTCCCCTGATCTAAGCCACGGCTTAGAGGACCAAGGCTCTCTCCATTCAGTTAAAGATTGTTGCTAGACACAGAATACGAATCAGTTTGGCTTGGTGGTTAAGACACCAGGCTAGAAACCAGGAGACAGCGAGTTCTAGTTCTCCCTTAGGCACGAAAACTGGCTGGGCGATCTTGGGCCAATGACCAGGAGACCGTGAGTTCTAATCCCTCCTTAGGCATGAAGGACCCCTGGAAGACTTTGGGACAATCACCCAGAAGACAGCGACTTCTAGTCCTGCCTTAGGCAGGAAAGCCGCCGGGTTATCGTTGGGCCAACCCACCTCACGGAGTGGTGGTTGGTGGGACAACAGGAGCAGGAGGAGCCTTCGTATATTTGCTACTTTGAGTTGGCTGAGATAGAAGTCAACAAATAAAATGAACCCAGGAGGGCGAGGCACTCTCCGGCTGGCAGGTTGCCAGAGCCCAGAACCAGCCTCACAGTCTGACCAAGGCTCATGGGCAAGCCAGAAGTCTTCGTCTGTCACCCCCTTCCATGGCAGAGGTCCCCTCCCTCCCATTCCCATTCCTTACCTGGAGCTGGAATGCTGCAATGCCGACCGTTTCCGAGGGGCGGCTTCTGGCTCCCCACAGTCTCCCAGGACAGAGGAGGAGAAGAGGCGGAATCCTGCGCCGTTTCAGGAGGAAACAAGAGGGAAGGTGCTGTGTGAGTTAGTGGCTCAGGCCTGGCCTGGAACCCTGGGCCAGTTTCTAGAATTAAAAGCTGCTGCCTGAAAGGAGGAAGAAAAGGCTTAGCGGAGCTGAGCCTCCTACAGCTCACGCTGCAAGCATCAATGTCCGGTGCCGAAAGACAGACCCTCGGAAAGAAGTAAACCCCTCCCCCTTCCCCCCCGTCAATGCCAGGCGGATGCTCAAGCATCCACCTGGAGCCGGGGTGTCCAACCTTGGCACCTGTATGACCTGGGGGACTTCAACTCCCAGAATTCCCCAGCCAGCACAGCTTCCCTGCTCTGGAACTCCAGACAACGCAGGCTAAAGGAAGAGGACACAGTTCCCCCAAGGGATTTCCCCCAAGCAAGCGGCTCACCGTTGTCTTCTTCCAGGAAGGCGCTGTTCTCATGTCGCGGGAGTCGCAGTGGGCACGTCGAGAGGGTTATCACCCTGAAAGGAAAAGCAGGATCAGCGCGGCAGAGGAAGAGAGGAAGCCAGGGCTGCCACTGGGCGTGGTGCCAAAGGAGGCCAGCAGTGAGCTTCCTGCCTGAAAAAAGCCACAGGCTAAATCGGCAACCGAGTGCTTGTTGATCATTAACACTCCGAGCTGGCCTAAGTTCCCAGAAGGCCCAAAACCTGGGGCCCATAAACCAGAGATAGGGAGCCAGACCAGCAGAACCGATTCTGTCCAAATGACTTCAGGGGAGCCTGGCCATTTTTGGCACAGTAGGAATGCAGGTGGAAAGAGGCAAAGGGCAAAGTCAGGGCCATCCAGAGAGTCGGGGGCTTTTCCCTCCTCCCACACCTAGAGAAAGGCACAGAGGAATCTAGGACTGCGTGGCTAATGTGGGAAGTAATGGACCTTTTCACCAAGACAAGACGGTTATTTTGAAATCAGTCGTTGTTTGGTTAGCTTCAGAGAAGGAAAGTTAATCATCTCTCCTCTTGTTTCAACACATCCATTCAGGCTACTTAAGGGAATGTTTTAACTGCCCAGAGTCGCTGGACAGGGACATGGATGGCATAGAAAAAACTTTCCCCTTGATGACATTGGTTCAGAATGTTGCACATTTTGCCCACAGATTCACCTCCGGTTCTTCCGTTATCCCATCACTGAGGTGTGTAACATGCAAACACCTCCAGCCTTTGGGTCCTTTCACCTGCAACCAACACAACTGGATCGGGGGTCTCCAACCTTGGCCACTTTAAGACTTGTGGACGTCAACTCCCGGAATTCCTCAGCCAGCAAAGCTAGATAACACTCATGGCTGCTTTCTGACCTGTTTTTTTAGCCCTCCTGTCACGTTTCTACCTTCATGTCATCCCCTCCAGTCCACAAGGCCATCACTTCCTTTCAGATTGATCCTATCTTGTTATATTCTCTTGGCTTCATAGACCCCTGTTATATCTAGAGGGAATCATTGTGTAGTGACCACAATGGGAACCCACAACTCAGTCATTAAACAAAACAGCCACTAAGAGGAACTGCCACTGGGCTGATAATTTCACTTCAGCTTTCCTGTGATCTCCAAAGGCGTAGATGCAAGGATCGGATGGAAAGTTACTGTTTCGTCACCGTCATAACTGTGAACAGTCACTAAACAAGGCAGCTACTAAAATGAGGATGACTTGTATTTCTTTTCTTTCAGTTGTTACTTCAAGGACTCTGCCACTCTCTCTCATGGGCCAAGTTATCATCCCCCAAAAGACCCTCTCCACAGATGTTTAGTTATTTATTTTAAACATTCATATAATTGTACGTTTTATATATATATATAGCGTTTATATATTGACTTCTGCTGCCCATGGAGATTTTCAAGGAGCATGTTGATTGGAAAGAAGTTGGACTACCAGCCTTGGTTGTGTCCATGCCACATGAAGCATGCCCTGGCAAGGGCCACACCAAGCAGGTTGGCACATTTGGGTTAAAAGCACATCATGGAGTTTTTTTTACGCCAAGGATGTTCATGCAATTCTGTGCAAATCGGGATCTCTACTCTAGAAACTGCTTTGCAAGCCAACAATACTGACACCAACCAACATTGCCAACTAAGAGGTATCTGCAGTATATCGATAAGACCCTCAGGGTGGGAATGTAAAATGTACTATTCAGAAGCCACGATAGTGCAGTGGTTAGAATGCAGGATTGCAGGCTGACTCTGCCTACCATCTGGCGTTTGATCCTGACCAACTCAAGGTTGAGCCAGCCTTCCATCCTTCTGAGGTCGGTAAAATGAGGACCCACATTGTTGGGGGCAAAAGGCTGTCAAATGCTTAGAGAGGGTTGCAAAGCCCCATGAAGCAGTAAATGTCTCAATGTATTGCTACTGCTAGAATTCTCTAGGAAAAGCTCCCACAAGGCCGTGCCCAAGAGGAAAATGTGAATAAAATGTTTGTGCCTACTTGTCCAAGATCGTGTCCAGTTTCTTTGCAACGTGTGCTCGAAATTCTGGCGTGGTTTGCAGTTCATTTCCATCCTGCTCATGATTGCAGATCTTCTCTCTGTTTCAGGAGAATTAACGTTCAGTTATTTTCTAAGATTCCCTTTGCCACAGGAGTAATCTCTAGAAGACTTTGATCAATTATCAATTTGATTATCCATTCAGGTAGTTCACTTTGCACAGAATCACTGGGATGGATTTGGGGATCCCTGAGAGAATCTGGCAATTGCACTTCATGTCATCCAGGACAGATAATTTGTATGAACTATAGTTTCCAAACTATAGTTTGTATGAACTATAGCTCTCTGAAATTATTTTGATGGCTGGGATGCTGGGAGCTGAAGTCCGTGCTCTTCTGTGGATGTCCCTGGAAAGCTGTGGGAAAAGAAACACCCTACCTCCAGGGGCACTTGAGGCCTTTTTCGGCCGCCCAGAGGTTTCAGGAAGGCTTCTGCAGGCCGAAAACTAAGCCCGTTTTGTCACTTCCTGTTTTTCCGGAAATACCGGAAGTGACGAAATGGCCCTAGTTTTCAGCCTGCAAAGCCTGCAGAAGCCTTCCTCAAGCCTCTGGGAGGCTGAAAAAGGCCTCAAACCGGCCGAAAATCAGCTGTGAGGCGTAGTGCAGGTAAGGGGGCAGCAACGGAGTGGGGTGGGGATTGCACGCGCATGTGTAGGGGGCGTGGGGGAGCATGCATTGCCTTCTAGGTGCTGGCACGCAAGCGCAAGCGCGTGCACAATTTTTGCCACAGGAGCCCAAACAGGTTAGCCACCACTGCCCTACCCTATCTGATTTGGGATTCGTCTGCTTTCACTGTAGTAGATCTCTAAAGTCTAAATGTGACTTGCAGGAAACAATCCCCAATTCAGTGAAGAAACCGCCTCCTCCTGAGTACTGCCTGAACCTTTTGACTCTTTCTTGCCTTTGGAAAGCTAGCATGTCGGGAGTCAAGGATTTCAGCCTGCACTCTTCAGTGTTTCTCACCCACAACCACTTGTTTCTCTTGCTTGTGGAGGGAAGCTGTGACTTGCAATGGAGGGAAGAGGTACCCCTGTTTAAGAGTCAGAATTAGGCCTAGTAGATGCAGTTGGGGACAGCTTAATTACCTGATGCTGGATCCACCTGCCTGCTGCTTCCTTTTCCTCGAATTCTCTGAAAACAAAAATCCAAATTAAAAAAAAGACTTCAACATGAATTCACAACAGTTGCGACTAAGGAATCCAGAAATATAGAAAACTGATGGCAGAAAGAGCTCTAGTGATCCATAGAGAATTCGGCAGAAAGACCAGTTTAACTGACTACGGGAATGCAGCGCACACCCCCTGTTTGAGTTTCAGTGGCGCAGGGGTTAGAGTGCAGTACTGCAGGCTAGGTCTACTGACTGCCGGTTGCCAGCAGTTTGGCAATTCGATTCTCACGAGGCTCAAGGTTGACTCAGCCTTCCATCCAAGGTCAGTAAAATGAGGACCCAGGTTGTTGGTGGCCATAAGCTGACTCTGTAAACTGCTTAGAGAGGGCTTTAAATTACTGAGGGCTGGTATCAAAGTCTTAAGAGCTGTGGTGGCACAGTGGTTAGAATGCAGCATAGCAGGCTATTTCTGCTGACTGCTGGCTGCCGGCAGTTCGATTCTCACTGGCTCCAGGTTGACTCAGCCTTCCATCCTTCCGAGGTGGGTAAAATGAGGAGCCAGATTGTTGTTGGGAGCAAGAGGCTGACTCTGTAAACCGCTTAGCGAGGGCTGGAAAGGATTGTGAAGAGGCATATAAGTGCCATTGCTATTCATCAAAACATGATAAAGCCTCTCTCATGAGCCAAGTAGAGAAGAAGTCAGTAAAACAGAGACCAGACAATGCTACCCCTGAGTAGATGCAGAGCTGGTTGAACCACTGTAAGCAGAGAATGCTCAATGGCTCTGTGCTGAGCTGGAGGGGAGCATCAAGGGGTGGGGGGGTGGCAGGTTCTGTTTGATAAATGGCTTTGACAAGGAACTAGGGAAATGGTTACCAGTGTACAGACAGCAGACAGCAGAGCTACCTTGAGCAAAACCCAGCAGCATGGATGTAAACAGAGACAAAAGCAAGCTCCTAATCTAAGTAAGAAAAAAGTAAATACACACACACACACACACACACACACACACACACACACACAGATAGATAGATATATAAAATAACAGGATGCATGAGCCAGACATGTAAAAGGCATCTGGATGTCTTGATGGACAAGTTGAATAGAAGCCAACAGTGTGATAGTGAAGCAAGAAAGGCAAATACAGTCCTCGACTTACAACAGTTCATTCAGTGACCATTCAAAATTACAACAGCACTGAAGAAAGTGACTTATGACCACTTTTCACAACTATGACCACTGCATCCCCGGATGCTTCACTACTGAATTATGATTCCCTTTTGCGACCTTCCAACAAAGGAAAGCCAATGGGGAAAGCAGATTCTTAACTTCACAACTGCGTTGCTAATTCACTTCTTGCTACTTTCTTGTGGCCAGAAAACTCATAAAATGGGGCACCTGGTATATCGATTCCAGTCCCGGATGCTATACAGGTAGTCCTTGCTTACTGACTACCCATTTAGCAACCACCTGAAATTATGACAGCCCTGAAAAAGATGAGTTACAATTGGTTCTTGCAATTGAGATTCTCACAGCATCCATGCTGTCATACGACCACAACTGCAACTTCTGCTGCTGCTTCTGAGAAGCAAAGACCATGGAAAGCTGGCTGGAAGTCACAAAGTGTCTTGCTTAATGACTGCAGACAATTCACTTTACAACCACAGCTGGAACTGATGTTGTATGTTGGCACGGTCATTTGATGTTGCTTTACAACCACATTATTTAGCAACGGACTGTCCCCAATTGCAGCCAGCAAGTGAGGACACCTCGTACTGCATTTTAGGAGAGACATTTGCCTAGTGGGAGGGACGAGCAGGTTGCTGGCTTTTAACACGTTTAGTCGGGAGAAGAGAACTCAGACTCCAATTTCTCTCCACATTTTAATGCTGAATTCTTTTTCCTTAAGGTCTTTTCTTGAAGCCTTAATTGTCAGGTGACACAACACGAAGACAGGTGAGATCTGGGGTTGCTGGACGAGGCTTCCTCGACAGTGATGTCGAAACAAGCTCTGTAAAGGAATTTTTCCTGCATTTGGGAGGCAACCCATATCATAACCCCACCACTCCTGTTTCTTTAATCCCTCTGAAGCTACGTTTGCTCGCATTAGACCTGTTGCACAAAGATCTGCTCACGTGACCCAGCTCTCCTCATGCCATCAGTTGATCTACTTTTATGAAGTGTCAGCACATAATAAGGGACGGCTGGATGGGTTTTTTTTTGCATGCCAGCCATTTTCTCAGTTCTCCCAGTCAGCATAAGGAAAAGTGTTGCTTCCTGCCCCAGGTTTTTCTTTTAACCAGATAGAGCATAGATATCTAAAAACATCAGCAACCCACATGGGCCCCTTCCAACTCTGTCAATCTATCTATAAAGGATCAGAATTACTGCAAAACAGGTCCCAGCCATAGAGGGATATGCACCATCATTACCAATTTCTGCCCATTTTCCAATGCTCCCCCACTTGTCTGGCGGTGTCTGGCTATCAGAACAGGAGCAGAGTTGACAGCCTCAGACCATTCCATAGACATGGGTCATCTCTAGGGCAAAGTCTTCAGAAGGGGCAAAGATGGTTAACTCCCCTGTTGTCATTCAATATAAGCAGACGATTAGAAGCACCAAAGCAAGGATCCCTCCTTTTAAAGCACCTCCAGTGATGGAGCCCCCACAACTTCTGTTCCACTGATTAATTGTCCTCATAGTTAGGAAATTTCTCCTTAATTCCAGGTTGCTTCTCTCCTTGATTAGTTTCTGTTTATTGCTTCTTGTCCTGCCTTCAGGTGCTTTGGAAAATAGCTTGACCCCCCCCCCTTCTTTGTGGCAGCCCCTCAAATATTGGAGCACTGCTATCATGTCATCCCTACAGCAATGGCGGCTCAGTGGTTAGAGTGCAGTAAGCAGGCTACTTCTGCTGACTGCCAGCTGCCTGCAGTTTGGCAATTCACTTCTCACTGGCTCAAGGTTGACTCAGCCTTCCATCCTTGAGGTGGGTAAAATGAGGACACAGATTGCTGGGGGCAACAGGCCAACTCTGTAAACTGCATAGAGAGGGCTATAAAGGACTCTGAAGTTGTATATAAGTCTAAGTGCTATTGCTAGTCCTTTTCACTAGACTGCAATGGTTCTTATTTTTTAGCCTCCAATCATCTTTGTTGCCCTTCTCTGCACTCTTTCTAGAGTCTCAACATCGTTTTTATATTGTGGTGACCAAAAATTCCAAGGCCTTATAAAGCAGTACTAACCTCCAAGGGCAAATTGAGCGGAGTGATCGAAAGTATCTCCTGGAGTCTGTTGCACAAACTTCGTCACAGGGAGGTGATGGGTATTGAATCCTCCTTCTTACGTGACTGTATTTGTAGCACATATATATTATGCATATGCATATATTATGTGTTATATTACATATAATATGATTTATGATGACAGAGCCCAAAATTTGACAGCAAGACCATTAAAATGAGTTGTGTCCCACTTTGTCTTTTCTTGTCACAGTTGTTAAGTGAACCACAACAATTGTTCAGTTAGTAATACGGTCATTAAGTGAATCTGGCTTCCCCATAGACTTTACTTTTCAGGTCACAAAAGGTGGACTCCATTAGCACAGGATGTGGCAACCGTCATAAATACGAACCAGTTGCCAAGGATGTGAATCATAAGCATAAGGATGCTACAACGGTCATAAATGTGAAAAATGGTCATAAATCTCCTTTATAGAGTTGGAAGAGACCTCAGAGGTCATCTAGTCCAACCTCCACTCCCCAAGCGGGAGACCCTACACCGTTTCTGACACAGAGCAGCCCAGTCTCTTCTTGAAAGCCTCCAGTGATGAAGCTCCCACAACTTCCGAGGGCAACTTCTGTTCCATTGTCGATTGTTCTGTCAGAAAATTCCTCCTTATTTCTAGGTTGAATCTCTCCTTGTTCAGTGGCGGTTTCACTTCAAATTGTCACTAAATGAACTGCTGTAAGTCAAGGATTGTCTGTATATGTTTGTGTGTGGTGTATGTATATAAAAACATAGGTATATTTTGTGACGCACATACACCCCCCCCCCCAAAAAAACCCCCTCCCATGATCAGGGCCCCCCCAACCTTGGCACTTGTGGACTTCAACTCCCAGGATTCCTCAGCCAGCAAAGCCGGCGGAGTTAGAGCAAAGCCGGCTGAGGAATCCTGGGAGTTGAAGTCTACCAGTCTTAAAGGGGGTCCAAGGTCGGGGCCCCCTGCCCTACATCCACCCTGGCAGCAACCGAAGCGCTTCGTCTCCCCGGCGCCCGCCTGAGAGCAAGCCCCGCCGCCGCGGAGACTCATTCCGCAGGTCCTAAGACGCCGGAAAGGCTCGACTGCCTGTCGGGGACACCCACGGCCCGGCGTGGCCACAGAGCTCCCTTGGCAAGCGGGGCGGCGCCGGGTGGATCGGGGCGCCTTCCCGGAGGCCGCAGAGCAGGCCCGGCCGACTGGACCCTCGCAGGCCAGGAAGCCCTACCGACTGGATCCAGGGCGGCCGCTCGACCGAGCGCCGGATCCCAGGCCGCCTCCCGCAGGCGCTGCCAGGCCGCCGCTTCTTCCTCGCTGTCGCCGTCGCTCGCCTCAGGGCCGGGCGCCGCCATCGCCAAGCCGTGCTCGCCGCGGAGAACTCTGGGAGCCGTAGTCCGGGAGGGAGGGCCAGGCGCGAGACGGGTCAGGAAAGGCCGCTGCCTCGCCGAGGGATCCCTCGCGCCGGAACCTTCGTGGAGGCGCAAGAGGGACGAAAAGCGCTTCCGGTGTGCAGGCCTCACTCACTTCCGGCTGAGAGGGGAAAGAAACGTACGTCGTCCGGGAAGGAGAGCGGCGGCTGTGGCCCCTTCCGGTGAGCGGGGGCACCGACCGACCGGGCGGGGTGGGGGGTGGGGGACCCGGCGGGCGCGGAATCCAGAGCGGGGACCGGGAGGAGCCCGCGGGCGGTGGAGCGGGGCGTTTGGAGGCCGGCGTCGATCGGCCTGGAGTCTCCGGGCAGAAAGGAGCCGCCCACTGGCCCAGAGCGGGGGTGGTGGTGGGTCCTCCGCCGGGAAGGGCCCGGGGGGCGCTAGGCGGCTCTCCTGGGGTAAGGCCGCCGTGGGAAAGGGCGTCGGGGAGGGGGAGGGGCAGGGAAAGGTCGGGGGTCGCATTCGTCAGAAATGGTGCTGGGTTTCCTGCTTGGGCGGGGGGGTTGGACTAGATGACCTACAGGTTCCCTTCCAAGCTCTGCTAATCTGTAAATCTGATCCGGGCTTCGGACCGATTGTTGACCTCGGGATGTGGGGGGAGGGAAGGCTGGGAAACGCAGCGCCTGGGTGACGAACGATTTTGTAACCTTCGTCTTCCATTCATTTTGCCTGAGAGGAGGAGGAGGAGGAGGCGGTAGCGGCGAGTTATGGCCCCAAAGCCCTTGGGCGACTTCGGGCCGGGCTGCCGAGGGTCAGCCTCAAGGGACCAGTCGGTGGATCCGTCCCTGTGACAGTCGGTGGGTCACAACAGTCGCGGGATCCGAACAAAAAGAACAAACCCTGCATCTCTGTTTTGTGTGTGTGTACGTGGGGGCGGGGAATGGAAAGGCTAGGCAGAAGGTAATAATATAATATGTGGCAAAATACCTTATACTGATGGAATGAAATGTTTGCTTGTTTGAAGTCCACAAGTGGCCAAGGTTGGAGACCCCTGATATATATATATATATATAGATCGAGACTATAAAGCTTATAGTTTTGATCTATATCTTACTCTTCAAACAAGCAAACATTTCATTCCATCACCCACAAGCCTAAATATTGACCACATCATTCCTGGAGAGCAGGTAAAAATCACTTTTCTAAGCTACTAGGACTCTGGGTTGTCTCACAGGGGACGATGGACTTGCTCATTGCGTCGAGGTGCAGCTTTGAGTTTGAAACTGTGACTATTTGTCTTGACGGATGGTTGTGCATAGACTTCGGTTCTCAGACTTGATCCAGGATAGCCCTTCGTTTGTTTTGGTTCCATATGTGGGAAGCAGCTTATGGGCATTCTCTCCTTACTCCTTAATTTTCCAGGTTAACATTTAGAATAGTTTTGCAAATAAACATATTAGCTTTTTTAAGAATATAGTACAATTTATGACAGAGTAGAAGGATATTAGAATTTCTAAGATTCACTTTAAAAATCCTGTTGCTGTTTATGTAAACCACTGGTTCCCCACCCCTTTTATTGTAAACTACCCAGAGTCAGGTGGTGCTTAAATATTTCAGCACAATATATTTTCAGAATAAGAATTTTAGACCCTTGTGTGCCATCTAAGATTTTTCCAGTCTTATCTTATTCTAAAAGTTAGTTGGCTTGCTTCTAGGGTTCACTTAATACAATGTTTTGCTGCTGGTATATAAGTAATCACATTACTATACATTAATTATTGCTAATGTAAAGATTGCATTTAAAGGATAATGCCACTTATCTCCTCTTGTTTGTTTTTAAAAATTAAGCTCTAATGAACAACTTGAATTTATTTACAAATAGATATCGTAGGCTTGCATAGAAAATGGCTTTAAGACTCATTGCCTGAAGGGCTATAATTTATTTATTCAGTTTCTATACTTGCCCATCTCAAATAAGTGGCTTGCAATAATTAATGTACCAAAAAGTCAAATACTAGTAACATGGATGTAGAGATTTCACATTGGGAGTTTCAATTGCAGAGACAAGGCATTTAAATATTTTTTTTTTAAAAAAACATCTCCCATATCTAAGTTTAGAGAACATTTTTCCTGTGGGAAGGTAGTACTAGATGTCATGAAAGTCGGCACTATCGTTTGCCTATAGTATTGCCTTTTTTTCATTCGAATTGCACCCTTTGACGTCACCAAAGAGAGCTTGGAGCTGGCAAAGCTGATCTGTTAAATGCTAGCAGATTGTGATGTTGTCCTTTGGGGGCATCCTGCATGATGTAATTGAATGAAAAAAAAAATAGTTGAAATAGAGATCTTCTCTTTCTCCACTTGTGTGTTTGGCTACTGTGGGCATGAAGGCTCCCTGGATTCCTTGTGGCTGGTTGCGTGTGGACATTTTCAACAGAGCTGAGAGAAGATACAGGCGTTCCCATTGCTTCTTTTGTTTTTCTTGGAAATATTTGCATAAGGAGGCGAGCAGAGATTGCTTCAGGTGAGTCAGGCTGGAGGTTATTGTTGTTACTGTATTTATTTATGAATGTATTTGCTAAGACGAAGGAAGTAGTCCATATATCCCCAAGTATTTTATGACTTTCAAAGGCTGTAGGTTTGGATGTTACCTAAGAGTTGATCAGTATTTTTGAGCAGCAACCTTGTTTCAGTGATGTAGCAACATCTGATGGCACCCTTCTTTAACTAGGTTTTGGTGTATTGCCATAAGGGAGAACTGGGGGTAGACTTGGTTTTTTTCTGTGTGAAAACTAAAAGTAACATATCTTGCAATTCTTCTTGTCAGGGTGGTTTTGATTTAAATCATGATTTAAATCATAATTTAAATCACTCTAGTAAAAAGACTTGATTTAAATCATAATTTTTAAAGAGCAACTGTCCTCCTCCGACCCACTCTTGACTCACCGACAGTCCCATTGCCTTTAATGGGACAGCTGGTGATGTGGCAGTGACATAACAAGGTGAGGGACGTGGCAGGCAGCAGGTGAGTGGATGCCCACTAACAGGTGCTGCCACGCTGGATCTGAAATGACAGGGGTGCTTTAAATGCAAGGACTCAGTCTTGCTGGCAGTTAGAATCTTTAATACGATCCTTTGCAAATCAAATGAAGGTTTCTGTTTAGCTTGCAGAGCTTGGATTCATTGAATGAGGATTCATTGAATGAATATTTACATTGAATGTAAATATTGTAGAATATACCGCCTCGTGCTATCTAACTAAGCTCCATTTCATGATGAACAAGCTAATGTATAATTAATGTATCACAAATAGAAAACTATCTTTAGATTTTTACTCCAGAAGCATTTTATTAAAATAAATTCAATAAAAATCAAAAAAATCAAATTTAAATTTTAAAAAAATCTGATTTTTTTTTTTAAAAAATAATCCATTTTTATCCACCTGTTGAAAGGTAGAAATTTGGTGAGCTGCAGCTGCCTTTGTTAGAGGCATTGAGCGTATAAGACAATATTTGGTTATCGGTCAGCTGCTCTTTGGAAATGGTGAAGGGAGCTGCAGCTTATCAGAGCTGCCTTTTAATAAGATGGGCTGCTTGGGAAAGGGGCTCCAAAGCCTCTCCTGATTCCGTGATACAGGGCATCCTCAACTTACAAGTTTATTTAGTGACTGTTCAAAGCTACAGCAGCACTGAAAAAAGGGACTTACGGCTGTTTTTCATTGTTAACGTCCTTTGCAGCATCCCCATGGTCATGTGATATCAAAATTCAGTTGTTGTAAATTGAGGCCTACCAGTATTTATCTTAAGCTCCTGTCCTGGGATTGTTGTGTTTCAAAGCCTAAAGGCCTGATCGCTTATAACAAATTGGGGGGGCGGGGTGAGGTACTTTCCAGAATAAGATACATTGATATTGGCCTAGAAAAGTAAAAAAAAAAAAGCTATTTATAACAAATGTTAATACAAGTAGCGAAGGGTCCTTAAAGTGATGTTAAATCTCTATCAAGTGCATTCTGAAGAGTGCAATGTTTGCAAATGCAATAACTTCAGAAATACTTATTAGAAAATTCTTGGCTTTCAGGTTCTTTCAGTTCTAGCAGTAACTCAGATCTCTCAGGTGCATCTGTCACTGTAGAAATCTCTTTGAGGAATTTCCTCAAGCCAGAAAAAGACAACGAAGGGTAGCCTGTAATTTAGTGCCACCTTCTTCTCAATTTAGTCTGTTTTCTCCTAGTTAAAGATCTGTTCCCTGCTAGAAAAATTGACCTGTGTTGCAGCACAACTCTGTGTGAGTTTAAAATAATTCAAACATAACATTCATCTTGGGTTAAGAGACTGCGGCTTCCTTTTGTACAATTGATATTCTATCTCTGCTTTTTCCATTTGCTGAATTAAAACAGAAAAGGTGAGAATGAAACCCCCGATGCAGGTGTTGCCTAATGGTAGTTATCAAAAGATTTTCTTTTCTGAGCTACAGCTAGTCCCCCTTGCAATTCTGTTCCATCCCTGGAGCCAAGATCTCTGTGTTCTGGCTGCTCAGGTTTAGCATCCTGAAACTCCTTCAGGCCAGACCACTTCGAAATGAAGGCTTGCTTCATGACATTCCCAGTGAGAGTCGAATCCAGATCAGTTTAGAAGGTACTAGACGTCTCAGGGTTTCAGCCTATCTACCCTCAGGGCAAGCAGGGAATACAGAAGGGAGAACCACCGCAGCTTTCCCAGTCTGTTAGGAGACAGATTTTGGGGAACTGGATTTATAGACGGCTGTTATGTATATTAGGTTGACAAAATCAGAAATGAGGAGGTGATCAGCTGCCTGGGAAAGCCAAAGAAAGTCATCAAAACCATTAAAAAGAGAAAGCTAGAATATTTTGGACCTGTGATGCGACACCTGGGAAAATACAGCATCCTTCACTTCATCCTTCAGGGAAAAATTGAAGGCAAAGGAAGATCCAGGCAGAAGAAGAACATCAGGGCTTCAAAATCTAAGGGACCAGTTTGGACAAAACTCAGCAGCCCTTTTTCGTGGGGCTGTTGATCAAAATAGGATCGCCAACACGATTGCCAACATCCAATGATGGATATGGAAGAAGAAGAAAAAGAGTTTGACTGGAGTTGGCTCCTTCCTGTGTGAACTGTTCTGAATGGTAGAATTTGGGCTGTTCCTCCAGCAATCCAAGGAGCTGTCCCCAGCTCTCTTTCTGCCTCTGATGATGATCAAGAGCTCTTTCCTTCTTTCAGCTGCGGACTGGTCTCTCTGCCTAACAAGTTATTTACCAGACAGTTTCTCTAAAACAGGGGTCCCCAGACTTTGCTGGCTGGAGAATTCTGGGAAGTCCACACATCTTAAAGTTGCCAAGTTTGGAAACCTCTGTTCTAAAGATTTGTACATATCTTATTGAATGCTAGACATTTTAGAGAATTTATCTGTTGGTCATGCTACTTTGTTAAATCTATATTTCAGCTTTGTTCCGTCACAGATAAGCTCTGCTGGGTTCTCTGGACAGGGCAGCCTGTGGATATGTAATTTTAATTATTATATATTCATGTAATGCAGAGATTCTTGATGAATTTTAATAAGCATTTAGAAACAGCTGTGTTCAGTGTTGTGGCAGAAATTACCATGAATAAAAAGCATACACGGGATTCTTATTCTCATATTAAGACTTGATTGTTTCTTAATCAGTCAGGATTTCTCTTGTCTGTTCTAAACTCTTAAGATCTGTCATCAGTGCTCTTATTGCACAACTAGCCTCTGAGGTATCGTCTCCTCATGGGCATAATTAGCAAAATAATGGTGGTTTTTAAATTATTATTATGGTTGGTTTCATGGTCAGTCAGATGTTCAGGCTGGATTTGCATTTTTATTCACCTATTGAGTCCTCCCAGAGAGCTGGGATAGGCAAATATTGCTTTCTGATGGTGTTAGTGGTATCTTCACAGGATGTAAGCTGCCCCAAGTAAAACTTCCTTTTGCAATTGACTAGCAGTGGTTTTGTTAATGCTTATGTCGTTCAAGTGATGCTCCAGATGTTTTAGGATTGCACCTAAGGTTGCACTTATCACTATTGGGTACTTTTCTTTTGCCACATTCATTCTTCTGTTTGCAGGCCTTTGGATTTTGTGATTTTTTTTCCAGTTCTCTATTCTGCTGCCTCCAAGTTACTGCCATGTCCATTAATAATAATAATAATATTATATAGTCTGTTCACAAGATGAAGTGACAGCTGCAGTTCTTTTTGCTGATGTTGGTCTTTATACAGATCAGTCTAAGATGTTGTAATGAATTGGCATAGTACATGTGTGGATCCAAGCAGTGTGGCGTTTTGCAATTGACAGATGGAAATTTTGTTAATGCATAGGTTTTCTGTGCCGTCCAAGAGTTTTTGGAATGGTACCCAGTGTGCCAATAATCACTGAAATCACCACAGCTGGTTTGTGCCACAATCTTTCAGTTTCTGTTTTCAGATCTTAATACTTTGTGATCTTCTCCAGTCCTTTATTTTCTATTCTACTTTCCTCTGGTATTGCCCCATCAATTATCCAATTATGTTTTTACCTCAAACATAGTTAACTCTGGAGTGTTATGAGCCAAGGCTTTTTATCAGCTTGAATTCAGAATCTCACATATTTTATTCTGATCATTTTTGACTACTTTTTCAACTTACTAGTTCCCACCATTTTTTCATTACTGGCAAATGATAATTTTTACTGGTGCTCCAGCAAATCATTTTGGCAATCGTGTTATGTTGTTGCTTATAATCAGTTTGTGCAATCTTCTTTCACAAGCCAAGTACGCAATCTACTGTTCCTTTGCATAAAATCTGTACTTTGAATCATTTGATGATGTTCTTCAGTTCTGGCTCTAACTCTTACTCCTTATTATTTGCTCTGCCAGGATTCAGTTTCCTACAGAGTTTCTAACTGGAAGCTAAAATGGCCAGCAAAGGACCTGCAGCTTCAGCTTCTACAGAAAGTTCCAGTGCAGGTGGAACCAGCGGGAACAGCAGCAACGGGGACAGTACGGGTCAGGACAGCACATTTGAATGCAACATCTGTTTGGACACTGCCAAGGATGCTGTGATCAGCCTGTGTGGCCACCTCTTCTGGTCAGTATCACTCTCGGTTTTCAGCAGGCAAATACTTAAAATCAGGGCTCTTAAAGGCTCTGCTTGCTGCTTCTTTCCCCATATCATCCTTACCAGGCAGGTAAGATTGGTAAAGCTGAAGGCCTAAACTCATGATTGATTCTACATCAGGGTTGTCTAACCTCGGCCACTTTAAGACTGGTGGGTTTCATCTCCTAGAATTCCACAGCTAGCGTGGGGAATTCTGGGAGTTGAAGTCCACAAGCCTTAAAGTGGGCAAGGTTGGACATCCCTGCGCTAGACGGAGTAGTCAGCTTGCCCCCCATAGGGTTGGATGAACACCATTCAATCCTTGAGAATGCATTAAGGGTTGGAGCTGTAAAAGGAATGAGCTAAGGGAAGAGAAACGGTTTCTGGGACCAATCCCAGCTGTATGTAGCCCATTTTCGGTGTCCACAGGGCCAATGGAATTGTGCCTCCATCCTAGTCCACCTATTGGACTGGGAACTGGAATTGTTTTAGGGATTGGATGCTGCAGAGTTCCAATCTTTAGGAAATCATCCTGGTCCGAGAACCCTTGAACGCGGCTCAGCAGCAGCTTTTGCTGCTGGATGCCTGGATGTCAGTTGTTGCAAAGAGAACTTAGGCTGAAATGTGAGGATTTAGGGGTGGGGCAGGCACAGGCAGGTGCAGGTGATGAACCTTCCTGTCCACGGCTAGAGATGCTACTTTGCTTCTAGGAGCCCCTCAACTCAGTCTCATTTAGCATAATTGAGGTTTTCAGGCTCTTGGTGAGCGGTGGCTTTCTGCTTGCAAAGTCTGTGTGTCAACAGTGAGCTGCCATCCTGTGCTCCTATTCTATGGGCTGCTTTAATTAGTGCCTTGATTTGCACACTGTGCCAAAGCATAACGTGGCTTGATTGGGTTTGACTCAGTATATTGTGCAAATCTAGCTGTTGTTACACATGGTTTGTATACTTACGTGTAAGCACAGCTAATGACTATTCATTCAGCTAAGTTTAAACTGTGAGTAAATTAACTACGAAATTGGAGCAGCATTGACAGTAGTGGTAAGTGGTAAGCCAGTAGCTGAAATTAGAAAAAGGGAGCTTCCTGCATTATTTATTTTTATTTATCACATTTAGATGCTGCCTGTCTCATTCTTGGCATTTCTCTTTTGTCGCATCCTCAGAAATAGTTGAGGTTTTGTTGGGAACCTGCATTTCAGATGTTGCTTAGTTTGCAGCCAAGAAGCTTTTAACAGCATCCATACAATTGTGATTGTATTCATTCACTCTGAATTAATATTTCAGTTTAAATTTGTCTCTTGCCTTTTCTTGAATTTAAAGCAGACAGAATGAACCATCTTGTTTTGTACCCATGCTCCAAATCCAGCCGCATGATCTAGACTTTCTGGTTTTCTCTCGGTATAATGGCCATGAGCTTTAGCCATAGTTACGAAAGTGTGGAGAAGACAATGAGCCAAACTCTGGGTTACAAAACAAAATGCCCTGGAGGGCATTTTAAATATATACAGGTTCTGCCAGAGTATAACATTTCACATAAGTATAAAAAACATCCAATCTTAAGTAATCCTGGGCTCCCAGAAGTAGTAACTAGGGGTGGAAATATCTTAGTGACACTAGTGCAACAGCTGTGGGTAATGTAAGAATGCATCCAAGAATCTGCCCAGCTGATGATCTGAGATTTGAGACCACCTCTCTTCTGAGACTTGGCAAAGCAAGAAGTCCTGTCCTCTTTTTCTGTGTCATGTTGTCATTCAGGCTGTGTATCACACTGCATTTCTTGGCGGTGGGATGTTCTTTTCCTTATTCTGCAGAATTCTGGCAATTCAGAATTCAATTATGCAGAACTCAATTCATGTTTTCTTAGTAAGGGAAGTTCCACTTTAGAGTCCCTTAGTTCAAGAAATCTCTATGCTGGTTTGTAAAAGTGGGGAGACCGGCTATTTAACAAAGCAGGAAAATCCTGCTTTCGCTGCTGCCTTTTAAAATACTGTGATTGTGTTATCCGAGAGTCGAATGTGCAGAGCTGGATTTCAGGTTTCTGACTGTCCACGTCTAACCTGTGTGCGTGTTGGTCTTTCTCTCCACTGCCACCTCTGCGGACATTCTACTTTATGAACAAATCACTCTGGGAATCCCTGCAGTTGGCCTTGTTTACACCAGGTAAGTCTGGTTCTGCTTTGCTTTGTCTTTCATCAGCTTTGGTTACCCAATCCACCTCCTTGGTTTCCCAAGGGACTCTGGGAAGGTGCAATATGCCTTTCCGTTTGTAGATGGATTGTGCGTTCTCCCCAAGGCGACTCCGTTTTGTAATGAGCATTAACCATGCAATTGTTGGCAATTTACCGTTTGGGGGCCTTTATAAAAAGAAGGATGAGCGGCAATGAGATGCCACTGTTTAGTAACAATGAGCATCCAGGGTATATTCTGGCTGTCCTTTTCTGTCATTCTGTTCGATTGATACCTCAGATGGCCGATAAGATGGTTTTAGGAGAGCCCCCTTTTGAATTTATGGTGGCCTTAAATCACATTTCCTAGCCACGCAGCAGCCGATAACAGAATGTTTTAAAAGACATTGGATCTTTAGTGAGATTTTGATGCTCTCGTGTGAACTTTCAGATTAGAAAGGTGAGATATTGTGGTGGATTGTGCCCACCGAGGGGAAGGAAGGAGGGAGCACATTTCAAGGAGATAGGGGAGAAAAGAGATGGATAGGAGATAAGAGGAAAAGCCAGAATAGCTGCTCCTAGGAATCTCCCAGGATACATCCGTTCGGGTGAGAGTAGCAAAAGTTTAGTCTGGCAAGATTCTGTCTATTTGGTGTGAACAAATAAAGAACTGAACTTTGGCTGGGTTGTCCTAGATCAGGGGTGTCCAACCTTGGCAATTTTAAGACTTGTGGACTTCAACTCCCAGAGTTCCTCAGCCAGCAAAGCTGGCTGAGGAAC